CTGAAGGCTATTCCCCCACCACCACACCCACCCACCTGCAAATCATAGGAACCAACTCTTAGGGATAAAATATTTGAGGGTGCTGGGGGCCCTAAAGTTGATGGACATTGCCATTCAAATGGTCTTGTGACTGATTACATGGGGTGGGGCTTACCTGCCCCCTCCCAATATTGTATTTCAGTTGGCTGCAAATGTTACTGGTGATACCAGCTGATGGGCAAGTCTTCCTTGAAAAGCCTACCCTGCACGGATCCCTTCAAGCTACAAAAAGGATGTGCATGGAGTTGGCTTTCCAAATAACCAGGTTTGCTTGTTTTCGCTGTGTGTGCAGCGAAAGCCAGCTGACCCCCTCCCCCCCTTTATTGTTGCGTGACAGAGCAGCCCCTGCCAGAGCTGATGTCTAAAATGAAATTTGTGATATCTGGGCTTGAGAACTGAATAAAATATTGGTTTTTAGAAAGTGGAATAGTTTGGTGTTACCTTTGAGTGCATGTTTTGAGTAATTTTCTACATATAGCTGACAGACGAAGAATTGGAAGTTCTCTTTACTCTCTCTCTTTTCCCTCTTTTTCTTTTCTCTCTCTCTCTTTTCCTCTTTTAGGTTTGTGTTTTTATTTGGATTAACTACTTCTATCTTTGATATTCTAAAAAATATTGGGTATTTGACGTTAACTTTTGTATGCCTTTTTCAAACTTTAATAAAATCTATGGGTGGGAAAGAAGCAGCTGCCTTGCATGCAGAAGGTCAGGGGTTAAATCCCTGGCATCTCCAGGTAGGGCTGGGAATGGCCTCTTGTTTGAAACCTTAAGGAGCCACTGCCAGTCACTGCAGGCAATTCTGAGCTAGATGGACCAACTTGGTATAAAGCCATTTCCTATGTCCCTCCAGGACACAAAGGGGTATTAAGTGCCACGGTCTTGCTGTGTATAGTGTGTTTCTGTGTGCTCCTCTATTCTGACTTGCTGGCTCGAATTCCTAGCTCACCTCTGACAGCTGCTAATGACTTAGCCTTGAGAAAAGGGCAGTGTGCATGTAAGGACTGGCTTCAGAAAATGTGCATTTTCATGCAAAGTGCATGCTGTTCAGTCCCTGCTTCCTCCACCACAAGGTCATATAAAACTGTTATGGTGAATGCCTTTTTGCAGTTTAATGAACTGCAGACCAAATCAGATATACATCTAAGCACACCTGCACTTTACCTGCACTGTATAATGCTTGCCCTGGAATGCCTAAATTCATAGGCACAGTGAGGATCATCAGGCAAATCCCCATGGCTAATTGTATGATGTGTAAGGAAACCCCAGCCTCCCATCTCTTTCCAGGGAAAGCCAACTTGGTTGGGGGGCAACTTAGGGACAAGTGGGAGCAGGAAAACAACTCAATAGCATAAAGGCCATCATGGAAGTCTAGTCCTCTTCCATGAGGGGGAAATGAGGGGGTAAACAACAAAATGGAGGCCTAGCTCTTAGTGAGGTGGCCAATATGTGTCTAGGCTGCATCATTTTCAGGTCACATCCACACCATAAATGGATGTCCTATTGATTTTGATGGCGTTGACTTCATCAAGTGAGCACACCTTAGATTGCAGCCTCAACTTATTTACAATACCTTCAAGTACCTAACTTTGTCC